GGTTCCCGCTCACTGGCTGAGCAAGGCGCGGGGGCAACACCGAGGTTTGCAATCCCGTTGCCAGTCCCCGGTCCGGTATGGGGGCAACACTGAGGGTTGCGATCCGTTGCCGGACACGGAAAAAGACAAAAGACAAAAAAAAAAAAAGCAAGTGCTTTATTAAACCAAGAAAATGAGCTATTCTATGAGTAAATGAAGGAGTGATGCATTTTATTCCCAAAAACTGTGCAAAAGCTTTTGTAGGGAAAGTGAAGGAAAATGGTCAAGGTCCCTCAGATGTTCAGAATCTTGCCAAGCACTTGAGGTAAATATGCACTTGCGCCCAGGTGTTCCTTGGTTATTGTCTAATGTAATTCTGCATGTACACCCAGATGTCCTGGGTTATGGACTTAAGTGGCTCTGATCCATAGGGTCCCCTGCCCCTGGGATGCCCCTGGAATTGCAGGTGGGGGAAGGGGAGGCCGCTACTGTTGCTGCAAGGTATTGCTGTCAGTGCTCCCGAGACCCTCCGAGAGGCCACTGCCACCACTGCTGTTGCTGCTGAGGACTGAGCTCATGTTGTCTGCCAGTGGCTCCCAGGATCTTTCCCAATTACCTAGCGTGGACCTGCATGTTAGGGGTCTATGACCCAGCCTGGCGTGTGAAGGGTCTGGGACCCAGTCTGTACAATGGGTTTGAAGGGTCTGAGCCCTAGCCCTGACAGTGCAAATTGAAACAGTATAACTAACATAATGAAACGTTTTGGCTTTAGTTACACAATAGTTACTAGCAATACAATTGGCTACAATGGCAGGAGTCTGACAATAGCCCTAACTAGACAATTAGCATAGCTATTGCTATAACTTATACAGCTTTCCCCATCACAAGCCAGGCAAATACAATTTAAGGCAGGAGAAATTGTCAAACCCTGAAGAATAGATGATGTGACCAATTCGAGCACCAATCTGAACTATTGTAAAAGCATTGTTTTATGGCTTTACTTGCTCATTTCTTCTTATAAATGACTTTGATCATCTTTTTAATATGTTTGTTCATTTTTTTTTTTTTTACATATGTCGAGGTAGTCATTTGGTTTTACTATTTTAATCTGTTAACATAACACTTTATGCTAATACTTTTTTGATGTCAAATCATCCTGCATTCTTGGGGCAGCAACTTGCTGTTTTCTTTTTAAATTTGTTATTATCTTGTG